AGAAGCCCCAGCGCAACTCCAAATCTGAGAAGCCCCAGCGCAACTCCGAATCTGAGAAGCCCCAGCGCAACTCCAAATCTAGGAAGCCCCAGCGCAACTCCAAATCTGAGAAGCCCCAGCGCAACTCCAAATCTAGGAAGCCCCAGCGCAACTGCAAGTCTTTCTATGAGTCCTGGGACTTCTTTGAGCAGGAGCAGCTCCAGCTTGGGAGAGGCAATGTTTACTAGGCTGGTTACACTTCTAGAGGAGGTTAGAGAAACACAAAAACTGCACGGACAGTTGTTGAGTACCTTGTTGAAACAGAAATCTGCTTCACCACCGGTTGAACCACCTGAAGGAGCTGTTTTTCCTTTGAGTACAATCAATGACGTCCTGGGCATGAATGAAAAGCTGGGTGACTCAGACTTCATGTCTGGAGTTGTAATTCAGACTTCATGTTGGAGTTGGAGTTGTAGTTTTGTTCCTTAAAAATTAACATTAAATTAGCCCCATTGCAGTAAGCAATTAACTAATGACATGATAAATTAAAGCAAATTCCCATAATTTATCATTTTTCTGTTTCTACTAAAAACTGCTTGACAAGTATTCAGTCTGGTGTTTAGGTCTCAACTTACCTTTTTTTTTTTTTTGAAGTACACATTTGTTTACAAAGACTTCATAATTGGATATTTAAATTGTCTTCCAGTTGCAGTGCTCATTGTTCATTAGAATTCAGTTTATCAATCTTTGAGAATGTGTTCTTATTATTATATTATTTGAAAATGGTTGTAGAACATTTAATCACAGTAATTTATGGGAATTTATTGTCCAGAAAAATTTATTGTGACAGGCCTCCCTTAAATTGATGCATAAATTAATTGGCATTTTGTCCATGTATAAAATTAAGCATATAAGCTATATATGTGTGAAACAATAACAAATCAATTAATAAAAATTAAAATGCATCCTGATTTTCAAATGTTGTCTTGCAATTGTCATTATATTTAAGGTTGCCATGGTTGCAGAAATTGGAGGAGCATCCTTGGATGACGCAATACGGCGGGCTATGCGATTCCTGATGTCCCATGAATTAGCAGTCCAGTTCAATCTGTTTGGCCGACATGGGAAACACCAGTTCCGGGACCTGCGTCTCTTTGATGTTGTGTATGGTAAATATCAGTTTTTATGGTCAGAGTAACTTTTCTTTTCACTTTTTTTCCTTAAACATTTGTTAATTTATTTTGTTTGTCATAGCCTTTTGTTTATTTGTAGTAATCTTTTGGGTTTTATTCACATAGTGTTCTTTCACTCAAGAACTTTTGATAGCTGACAAAAATTTTAAATGATATTTGTATTTCAGACGATACAAAATAACTGTAGAACCTTTCTTATATCAGTATAAGAAAGATATAGATGGATATTTTCAATTTGAACTAAGAATCTAGTGTGTGTTCATAATAATAAAGACTCAAGTGCTTTTATTGTGGCAGATCTTTGCAAGCATGTTTGCCCAATGAAGGGGTAAAGGCAAATGTCATGAATGTTACATTGTACTAAAGTAAAATACTAATACAATTTCTACCTTTGCTTGTTATTTTAGGGGCACTTAAAAGAAATGGTTCCATCGTTGGACTCACACATAAAGATGTGGAAAAGGCACTCTCCAAGTGGTTCACTGGAGCCCAGGACAGAGGTGGGAATAGGAGAGTTAGAGCAAGTAGGGAGGCTGCCTGTTCTCACTCTGGTGGGCAGGTTTTCCAAGAAGGACAGTTACAATAATATGCGAGCTTTCAAGTGTAAGCATGCATGTAGGTTATTCTAAAAGGTTTTTTGAAAGGTGTGTGCTTATAACGGTAAACAAGTTTGTTGTTCAAAAATGCCATGTGAACAATTTTGTAGTTTTTTTTTTTTATTGTTTAAGAGCACAATTTACAATTTTGTAGATTTTAAAAAAATATATATATTTTGTTGTTTAAGAGCACAATTTACAATTTTGTAGATTTTTTTATTTT